GGGGCACCTCGCGGTCCCCGCCGCCAGGTCAGCACCCCAGGACGCTGCAGGGGGCCCGCTAGGAAGCCGGGGAGCCCGGCTGGCGGGGCAGGACCCCCTTTCTCTGGATGGGGCGCAGGACCACCCTGCACGCCTCCCCCGCACCCTTTCGGTCTCTTGGGGTCCCGGGGTCCCCGCGGTCTCCCTATCCCTGTGTGCATTGCTGCCCCCCAAAACCTAGAAACAGCCCTGACCCTAACGCTGTCCCCACCCCAACCTGGCCCTGGCTTTGACCCCCTCCCGCCCCCACCCTAGCCTGGATGTCGGGGTTCCCCCCCTCCTCACGCGTCTTTGGGGACCTCATCCTGGCTGCTGGGGGGGCTGTTACCCCTTCGCCCTGAAGCTGCCTCTCCACAAGGCCAGGGCCGGGAAGTAGAGGCCGCGGGACTGGGGGGTCTGTGTGGGGACCCAGGAGGCACCCCCACCTCACTCCCCTGACTCAGTTTCCCAGAAATGCACTGATGTTCTGCAGTGGGGTCGCTGCAGGGAGATTAAACAAGGGGGTGCCGGGTGCCGCCGGGACATTCCCACTGCACCCCTCGGGCCACACAGCTTCCCGGGGACCCCTTCCCTGGGGACCCCCGCCCCGGGATTGCTGTGGAGGTGACTTCTCTGCACCCCCACCGCATCCCATCCCAACAGTTGGCAGGTGCATTTCTGGCTCCCCAGAAATAAAACCACAGAGCAGGAAGCCAGGCCGCGGGTCCGGGGCCCCCTCCCTCCCCGCGGGAACCCTGCTCCCCATTCACCAGCCACCGCCTTGGCCCGGCCCAGAGAGGGCCAGCGCTGGCCAGGACCTCACACAGCGCAGCCCCAGGGACGCCCTGCCCGCCTCACGCCAAGTGGCCGGCCAAGTCCTGGGGGTGCCACACGGGCTGGGGGACCCGCTGCCCGGTGCACTCAGTGGGTGGGGAAGGGTGCCACTGGACATACAGTCAGGACCCCTAAAAGTGGCCCTGTCTCTCAAAGAAGGCCGTGGGAGACCCTGAGGTGTCCCCGGGGTGCCAACGTGCTCCAACCAGAAGACAAACAAACAGAACCCTTAAAATCACTTCGCTCCCTGGAATCGGAGGCTCCAGCCTGCCCCTGGGCTGCTGGGGATTTGGGGGAGAAACAGAAGCAGCCACTTGGGCAGGGCCACCGCGGCCACCCCAGCACCCAGCCCTCCTCTCACGGGGACCTCACTGTGGTCCCCCACGGCGGTCCCCCACGGCAACATCTGGGGTGCAGACGTACGGCCCCCCACTTTCCCCCCAGAATCTTCCCAGAAATCAGCACTCATATGTCCCAGAGATTGGGGTCCCTCCTCATGAGCAGGGACCCTCAACTTGACCGGTGGCCAGCTGGGAGCGCCCTGTCCTCCTGGGCCCCCCCTTCTGGGGGGGATGGTGGGTGATTTGGTAAAGAGGTGGGGGGATGGAAGAGGGCCCCCCATGCCAGCTGGAGGTCTCGGGCTGGGGTGACAGGTCGGGGACCCAGCCCAGCCGCCCCTCTCCGGCCCCGCCGGAAGCCCAGCCATCATCCACCTGTCTCTCATGCTTTCTTTCATTCATTCATTCATTCGACAAACATGTATTTGTGCTCACCGTGCAAGCTAGGCTGGGGGTGTAGAGGGGACTGAGCGGGCCTGAAATAGGTCACAGGCCCAGGCCCCCCCGGGCCCTGCTGGAGGCTGGGGACCCAGGTGTGCCCGGCATCCAAAGCCTCGGGGTCCCCACGCCTTGTCCCCGGTGCCCAGGGCCAGGGCCAGCACGGTGGCCGGGACCCCGCTTTCGGGGTGGCACCGCACACCCCAGCTCACCTGCTCGTCGGCGCCCACGCCTGGCTCCTCCCGCGGCCACGCACCCCGGAGAGCCGGCTGGGGTTCATTGTCTCGGCCTGGGACCCCCCCCCAAACCCCAAACCCCAAACCCCATCCCAGCCCGGCTGTGCCAGGGGGACCCCGGGGCTGAGCTTGAACCGGGGAAGGCGGGGAGGTGGCGGGGCTGCTGCCAGAGCCCCCCGCCCCCCTCTTCTTTTGTAGTTACCGAGGGTCCCCGGGGTGCCGGGCATCCGTGGCCCCTGCAGCCAGACCTGCCCGACCCACGCCGGCCTGGCTTTGTGCGCTGCCCGGAGCCCCGGGGCGCGGAGCGGAGGGTGGAAAGTTCCCCGACGACGGGGGGCCGGGGCCTGGGGGGACCTGGGGGGGCTGGGGGGGCCTGGGGGGCTGGGGGGAGGGGAGGGGGAGGGAGAGGGTGGGGGAGGGGGGGCAGGGGCGAGAGGAGCGAGTGGGGAGGGGAGGGGAGGGGTGCGGGGGAGGGAGGGAGGAGAGGATGGGGAGGGGGAGTGGGGGAGGGGGAGGGAGTGGGGGAGGGGAGGGAGTGGGGGAGGGGCGGGAGGGGGCGGGGCCAGCGCGGCGGGGGGCGGGGCGGGGGGGGCGCGGTGCCCACCCTTGTGCACGGCCGCGTAGGGGTGCGCCCACCTTTGTGCATGCCCGTGTAGGGGTCCTTCAGCACCGTGAGCTCGTAGATGCGGCCGAACTGCTCGAAGAGCGGCTTCAGGTCCTTCTCGTCCAGGTTGCGCGGGATCTGCCCCACGAACAGCTTGATGGCGTCCAGGTCCTTCATGCCGTCGGGCTGCGCCCCGGGGGGCTCGGGCCCGCTGCCGCCCACGCCCACGGGCGACGGCCGCGGCTGCAGGAGCGCGTGCTGCTGCTGCCTGCGCGCCTGGCTCTCGGTCAGCCGGGCCATGGCGGCGGCTGTCGGGAGGGACGCGCCGGCCACAAAGGCGGCGTGCAGCGACCCCTGGCGGCCACGGCGCGCGCTGCACCGGGAGGCGGGGGGGGGGGCTGGCGCGGGGAGGGCGGGGCGGGGACCCCCCACCGGGGCGCTGCGGGGTGCTGGCCTTGCGCCCAGATCCTCAGCGGGGCGCCCCTGGCCGTGAGGACCAACTAATGACAGCCGAGAGCCGGAGCCCCGGCCCCTGCACCTGCCCCCTGCCCTGGGCTCCGCGCTGCCCCAGGGCCTTAGCACGGCCTTCTCCCCTCCCCGCCCCGTCCAGCTCCGCACGCAGTGTGTGTCCCCGCCTTCCTCGCCCCTCGCTGTCACTGGCCGTCTTGGCTACGAACCCTGCACCTGCCCTGACTCCCTCTCCTGGTCTCTCCCTCCGGGGACATGGGACCCCTGTGGATGTTACTTCAGTGTTTATTTATGTTTATTTCCGCTTGACGTGGGCGATTCACCTAGTGCTTTGCTAGCAGGTGCCAGGTCCCTGGATCTGCAGAACTGAGGTGACTGAAATAAATAAGCAAAGCCTTTAGGCCACACATGCCATGAAAGAAACAGAACGGGGGGGAGGGGGTAGAGAAAGAGATTTAGGAAGGAAGGTCGGCTAGACGAGAGCAGCTCAGGACCAGGGTGTGAGCGAGGGAGCAGGTGCAAAGGTGCTGGGGCAGGAAGCACCTACTGAGTAGGAGGAGCAATGAAGGGGTCAGGGACAGGGTGCCTGGGGGACAGGAGTCCAGTGTGGATGACAAGGATGGTCACAGAGGTTCCATATCACCTGTGCAAAGAGCTAAAGTGAAGTACTAATGTCACCCACAGTGAGGTAAGGCTGGCACTCATTATGAATCTGTGAATTGAGGAGACAAAAAACAAAAACTCACTCATCAACATGGATGGCATCTCACTGGATGGATACACTGTGTCTGTGGTTCACCGCTGGAATACTACTCAGCCGGGAAAAGGAGGTGCATGCGCTGTGACACTCACCACAGCAGGGACAGACCTTGACGCTGTGCTCAGGGAGAGAAGCCAGACGTAGAGAACACACAGCGTGGGCTCCGCGGGCAGGAAACACCCAGGACGGGCCCCTCCAGAGACAGAAAGTGGACTCCGGGGTGCTGGGCTGGGGCCGGGACCAGGACAGCTCCTGGGGACGGGTGTGGCTGCCCGTGCCCCGGGTACTCTTCATCTTGACAACTGGCTTTTGAGAGCCCCTCCCCCTCTGCCCTCCAAGCAAATTCGCCCTGGTCCTGCCCAGCCCTGTAGCAAACTGAATCAGGCCCACAAACACCAAGGGACCTGTCAGGCCGGGGACAGAGAGGCACCCGGCTGGGTAGACCCGGGGAGGAGGCTCAAAGACCTTAGGGCCATGGGGCCCTGGGAGAATTGTTACAAGCGGAACACAAACCGAGAAGGGCACGGGGTGCCCTCATCCCTATGCTCTGGGAGGCTGAGGCAGGAGGATCTCGAATTTGAGCCCAACTTGGGGGGCAACTCGGGGAGACCATGTTTCAAAATAAAAGAATAAAAAGGATTCACATGCATGGCTGACGCCCTCAGTCACATCAGGGGCACAGCAGGGCAAAGAACAGCAAGGCTGAGGCCGGGCCTCTGGGTTGCTACGGACCAGAAGTAACCTGGTCACCCCTGACATGATTGTGCTGGGCGATGGGAGGCCTCGAGCCATCGCTGGGCTGAGTAGATGTCCATTTCTCCACTTGCCTGCCCCAGGACCTTTGCACCTGCTCAGTCCTCACCTGCTGACCTGCTCATGGGCATGGATAGTGGTGCCCATGGTCTCTCAGCCTGGGCACTGTGGCTGCTGGGGTTGGGCATGCTTGGGGGGTTCCTGGACATTGTGGGTGCTGAGCAGCATCCCTGGCCCCCTGCCCCGTCCATGCCAAGCCTTCCCTGGGGTGACAGCCACATGTGTCCTGAGACACAGGTGAGAACCTCTGCTCGGAGTAAAGAAGAGCACCGGACTCCCTGTCCCTGCCCATCGCGAGGTCACTGTCCCCCACAGATCTCTGTGGCTTCTCCCATGCCCAGTGTCCCCTCCAGACCAGAGCAGAAGTGTCACCAGGTGCATCCACGGGAACCCTGCAGCTGCCAGCCACCCACCTGTTCACCCCGACCTCCAGGGCTGCAGGGACAGAATGACAGCGGCTCCTTCTCCCCAAGATCCACCTGCTCTGCTCTGCAGATGCCCAGGACTGAACAGGGACCTCCGTGTAAAGAGCAATTTGAAGCTGTGATGGTGGATACATTGCGTCCACTCTCAGTGACTCAGCAGAGGGTGGGCTCCTACACAAACAACTGGAGCCCTGCAGGGGGAAGGGAGGGAGATGGTGAGCGCTAGGGCAGGAAGCCGGAGGCTCGTTCTCCCCGCTTTTCTGCTCTGGTTGCTTTAGCTATCACCTTCTGCCACCTTGAATTGTTGCCCCTGTGCCATGGGCCACCCTGGCTTGCAGGCAGCTGATTATGGACTGAAACCTCCACAGACTGTGAGCTAAATAAACCTTTCCTTCATTTTGGGTGCTGGGGATTTTCTCCCTGCCCGGCAAGCTCTAGGTTGTGAGTTTGATCTCCAGTACCAAAAAAAAAAAAAAATTTTTTTTCTCATTGAAAAATTTTTTCAGTGCTGGGGAATGAACCCAGGTCCTCACACTGAGCTACATCCTAAGCCTGTCTTTACGGTTTTGAGAGCGGGTCTCACTGCGTCCCAAAGTTGCCCAGCATGAGCTGGAACCCGGGACCCTCCTGCCTCAGCCTCCCAAATGCTGGGATCACAGGCGTGTGCCACCACACCCGGCTAAGAAAACAAGATTTTTAAGGCCTCAATGAAAACCACCTCTGTTGGAAATTCAAAGTGGTGTTGGGGCAGCTGGAAAGCTTGGGGTACGTTCTGATTGGTGGACACTGACCCATCTGTGTCCACTTCCTGATTTTGTGGTCAGGGAAGGAAACGCCCTGGGTTCTAGGAAATGTGCCTCAAAGCATTTAGCAATAAAAGAGCCAGAGGGAAGGAGGCGCTGTGGCGCAGCCTGTCCCCGGCCCCTGGGAGGCTGAGGCAGGAGGACAAAATGGCAACTTGGCGCCTCACTGAGACTCTGTCTCAAAACCCAAAAGCGGTGCCGATCGGGACAGGGAGGGTATTTCCCGCCCTGAGGAGAAGCTGTGATGGCTCAGGGGCGATCGGAGCCAGGAGGCCACCTCCTGGGGCCATGTGTAGGCTGCTGTGGCCGTGGCAGGTGACGTCTCTGTCCCCCCGCTTTGCCACCAACCTGGACAGCCAGAGCCCACAAAAAGGGCCACACAGTGCCCCACGTGGCAGCTTGATTGCATTCCACGAGGGTCACCGTCTTCAGGCTGCTGGTGACATTTCCAGACTTAGAAGTCAGCTGTGTCTCTCTCCGCCTTCAGGCCACCTCCCCCACTTCCGCCTGCTGCACTGGGCTGGTGCTGCCCCAGGGCCTTTGCACTGCAGTGCCACTGCTGGCTGCTCCTGCCTGGCCTCTGAAACACTGGCTGACAATGTCCCCCACCCGGCCAGACAGCCGGTATCTCCCACCCAGCTCCCGGTAGGTGCTTGGCACTGATGGAATCTGGCTGAATTTCTGGTCACACTGCGGGAGGTCTGGGGACCCAGGGGGCTTGTGGGTGACTCCCTGAGATCGTAACCTATTTCCTCCTCCTACTTCCCTAAACCTGGTGTGATCACGACCACGTTCACAGGATTGACACTGTGCGGAGTCACACTTGGCGTGTAAACACCATGGTCCCAGCACGCTGGAAAGCTGAGGCAGGAGGATCCCGAGTTTAAGCCTCTGCTCACACCTGGACCCCAGCCTGTCCCCCAACACCAAATGCCACCTGTGCCCCCGAGCAGTGGGCCACTCGGGGACACTTCGAGTGGCCGTTAACACACGGCCCTCGCGCTGCCCAGGACCGTTAGACGACACGATGGCACAGGGGTGACCCCATCTCCCGGGCATCCCTGCCCTGGGAGCGGAGGGGAAAGATGCCAGTGTGCGGCCGCCACCTCTGGGCTCCTATCGGCGGGATTTGGGGGGTTAAAGAGGAAAGGTCTGCCCAGAAGGGCCTGGCTCAACGTCCAGCCAACACTGCCCTCCGGACCAGCCACTTCCTGGCACCTGTGCCTGGCTCCCACCCTCCGTCCCCTCAGCGGCCACCAGAGGGCGCTCTGAGTCCCCAGTGGGGCCCTCCCGGGCTCCCACCTCGGGGCACAAGCTCAAGGCCGCCTGCAGCCACAGGGACCTATACAGCCCGTCTGCCCCTACACTGCTCCCTCTACTCCAGCCACATGGGGGCTCACTGCTCCTCCCACACCAAGCTCCTGGCTGTCCCAGGGCCTTTGCACGGCTGTGCCCTCTGCCTGGACAGCTTCCCCAGCTTCCCCCAGGGCTTACTTCCTGTCCCTCAGGCCCCAACTCCAGCGGCTCATCTTGTGCCCAGCCTTCCAGGCCTGCTGGGGTTCCCTGACACCTGTCTACACTGCTGCTTCCCGCTTGTGTGATATGCCCCCAGCCCCACCAAGCACATCTGGTCTGCCCTCCCCACCTCTGTGAGGCTACAGGCCCCTCTGGTCACAGCCATAGGGCTCGCATCTTCCAGGAGCTTTATGGGTGTTTGTTGAATGACTCAAGAGAACTGAACAGAGCTGGGTGCCATGGTGCACACCTGTCATCTCAGCACTTGGGAGGCTGAGGCAGGAGGATCACTGTGAGTTTGAGGCCAGCCTGAACCATATAGTGAAACTCTGTCTCAAAAAAGACCAGCAAATAGGGGCTGGGGATTTAGCTCAGTGGCATAAGCGCCTGCCTTGCAAGCAGGCAGTCATGAGTTCGATCCCTGGTACCGATAAAAAAAAGACCAGCAAATAATTAAAAACTGAGCAGGCCAGGCAGGGCTCGGTGCTGAGCCGTCTGGGGGGCCCCGGGAGACCCCGGCAGCCAGCTGACAGACCCTATCCCAGCCCATCCTCCCCGTGCTTGGCTGTACTGCGGCTGCTAAGGTGGAGACCACGCCCCAGAAGCCTTGCAGGTCCTCTCTGGAAATAGGGTCCCTGGTGCCACTGTAGTCAGGGGTGCAGCAGGGTGGGCCCCAAACCAGGGCCTCCAGGAGACACCCACGGGGTGACGTGGGGAGACGGGCAGTGGCCGTGAGCCCAGATCCAAGGCCCTGTAGGCCTGGGGCCCGGCATGTCCAATCCAGGACGCTGTCTGGGGGTCACAAGTGATCTCTGCTCCCCGTGACCGCCTGCCAGGCTGGTGCCACCACACGTGCCCCGTCGTTCAGTATGGCTTTATTTTCTGACGGGTGCCAGCAGCTCCGGCCAGCCCGGTGTCCAGCAGCCCTGCCAGGGAGTGGTGGGGAGTTCGCGTGGGAACGGTGGCCCGGGCAGTGCGGCGTCAGGGGCATCCAGGCACCCCAAGTCCCCAGGCGAGGCCCCTTCCTTGGGGCAGGCAGGTGGGAGGGTGCAGGGACCGGGGCCCCGAGGGCGGTGGTCGGAGCCGGCAGCGAGTCGCAGACCAAGCCGGGGCCGGGGCAGGCGCGCCGGGCAGCTCCGCCGATATATTGATTATATTGCTAACGAATCGATACTCCTGGTCTCCCTGAGATCAGCGCCGCCCTCCGGCCCCATCCAGCCTGTCCATGCCTTCTCCATGGCCCTCGATTCCTGACCCGGTCCCTCCTGTGACGTGATGGGAGGGTCTTCCTTCACGGAGGAGAAACTGAGGCTGGAGCCCGGGGACGGGGAGGCTGAGGGTGGCCGGGCCGGGGACCTGCTCAGGCGGGCGGCTGAGGGCTGCGTAAGCAGCGGGGACAGCCGGGGGTGGCGGGGAGCAGCTCAGGTGTGGGGTGTGTGTGTGTGAAGTGTGTGGGGTGCGGGGCGCTGGCCGCAGGGGCTATGTGGGCAGCGCAGGGCCCGGGGGGATCCCCGAAGCCTGGACGAGGAGCTAAATAACCAGGCGTGGCCGGGCACACGAGGGGTCGCTGTGGAGCCGGGGCAGGGCACGGCCTGGCTCTGCCGGCACTGTGCACACCCAGCTCGGAGGCTGGCGGGTCCCCGGGTCGGGGCTCATCCAGTGTGTCCCCAGGTTGGAGGTGGCCCGGCTCTCCTCCAAGCAAAGTCAGAGAGGAGGAAGAAAACCCAAAGCAAACCGAAGTCCCGTTACTGCCTGTGTCCGAGGACCCCAGGGCGGCGGCGGTGTCATGGGGCCGTCACTGCGTCTTGGCCTTGACCAGCAGCCTCTGCACCGTCTTGTAGAGCAGGCCGAAGTGCTAGGGACGGGAAGCGGTGAGGTTAGGGCCCTGCCGCATCCCGAGACCCGGCCGTGGCCTCCGGGCGGGGGGCAACCGCTCACCTGCACTGCCGTGTAGGCCATGCCCAGGTAGGCGCCGATGCACACGGCCAGCAGCAGGTCAAAGACGGCCGGCTTGACCCTGCGGATGCACGGGGCTCGGCACTGGGGGCCCTGGTCTGCCCCCGTGTCAGGGGCGGCCGTGTCCTGGTGTCCTGGGCCGTCGCGGGTGCGGGGCTGGCCACTCACCTGTACGCGTTCATCACCTGCTTCAGCTGGTCATAGAAGACGAACTCGGGGTCCCTGGGGAGGTAGCACGTGCTCAGCGGCTGAGCCCACAAACTGGCCTGGCTGTCAGCCCGGACGCTGGGCCTCCCAGAGCCTCACTGCCCACCTGTCCCTAACCAGGAGGCTGCGTTTCCTCAGGTCACCCCACCCTACTTCTGCAGCTGTTAAAGTTACTCTTTCAAAGGAAATAGAGTCTCTGGGCGTGGTGGCTCTCGACGGTCAGCCCAGCACTGGGGAGGCTGAGGCAGGAGGATCTTTGCAAGCTGGAGACCAGCCTGGGCTACACAAGCCTGAGCTCAAGGCCAGCCTGAACTCCGCAAGCAAGACCCTGCCTCAAAAAGCCTGAAAAACCCACCCCGAGGCAGCACCTCCACCTCCCCATCCTGCACTCAAACTCCGACCCTCCTGCTTCAGCCTCCTGTGCTGGAATCACGGGCGAGTGGTCTGGTGGGAAGTGTTCCTACAGAAGGGGCGACCGTAGCCAAGGGATGAGAGCCGCTGGGGCCACAGCTGTGTGTGTCCACTCTGAGCCTGGGTGCCCGGAGCTGTGACTGGCCAGGAGGGGCCTGCACGGGGCTCCTCTGCTGCCAGGGCTGGGCTGCCTGCTCTGCCGGCCACGCGGGAGCCAGACATGCAGGGCGCAGCAGTGACTGGGGTCCCACGTACGGGGCGGGTCGTGCCCACCCGGTGCTGCTGGCAGCGTGCCCCTCACCATGCCCCCGGCCCCTGCCCGGGCACAGCTCACCGCTTGTCAGCCCGGACGTGGTGCTGCCGCACGTCCTTGAGGTAGCGGCTCAAGAAGTGCTCGAGTGTGCTCAGGAATGTGCCGTCCTTATCCAGCAGCTGGGCAGCCCGCGGCTGGTTGGTCAGCCAGTCCATCACCGAGTCCAGCTGCTCCTGCTGGACCTGCTGGGGGAACACAGCACGGTTACAGCGGCACCGCCCCACCCCTGACGGCCCAGGGCCTGCTTACCATCTGCTCCGTGAACACCGGCATGTCCGGCGGCGTCCCCTGGGGAGAGAGGACACGGCAGTGAGCGGGGCCCTGCAGAGTGGCGACAGGGCCAGGGGAGGGGCGCGGCTGGGCTCACCTTCTCCGTCAGGTTGTAGATGACCCTGGTCAGCGCCTCTGCGATGATCCGTGTGTTGCGTGTCAGCGTCTTGGAGTCCACGCGAGACCTGGATGGAGCATGCGGGGCGTCACCCTCCCCACAACCAGGCTGATTGGGGCCCACTGTCCCCTAGACGCAGCCGCCCTGGAGCTCGTTTTGCAGGGACCTCATTATGGGGAGGCTCCAGGCACGGGGTCCTCAGAGAGGAGACGGGAGAGGCGGCTCAGCCGGAGGGACACACAGAGCCCAGGGTAGCTACCGGAACCTCGGTGCACCTCGGCCTCCCGATGAACCTCGGCCTCCCGATGACAGCGCCCCGTGGGGGACACAGCCCTCGAAGCCGCGCCTCACCCGCAGCCCAGGGAGGCCAAAGGCAGGCGCGCACCGGACGTCCATGATGCTGCTGCGCTGCCCATCGCGGTGGCTCTCCAGGTGGGACAGCGTAAAGGCCGGCAGCCTGCGGATGGCGAAGCGCTCGTGCTCCCAGGCCAGCACGTCGTCCGCTAGATTGATCTTCTTGTGCACCATGGAGAAGAGCACTTCGGGGAACTGGTGCGCGGCCACCTGCTCAGCCCAGGCCACAGAGGGCAGAAGGCCGTAAGGCAAACGAATGCCCCGCCCTCCAACCCGGGGCCACACCCACTCCCATTAAGCCACACCCACCCCATGGCCACACCCACTTCCTAGCCAATCTGTTGGCCAGATGCCACACCTACTACTTGGCCCCGCCCACCACCATACAGCCACACCCACTTCTCAGCTCCACCCACCAGCAGCCAAGGCCCGCCCACCTCTCCTCCTCCTGCCCCCCCCCCCCCCAAGAATCTGCAGGTCCGGAGTGAGGCCAGCCTGGGGCTCCCAGGGGAACCCGCCCCCCCCCAACGCACCATCTCAAGCTCCCGCAGGAAGGCGTGCTGTAGCGTCCCCTCCCTCGGAGGCTTGGACACGTGCAAGTGCAGGCTGCTGCCCCGGCCCACGGTGTCCAGGCACAGGACAAAGGCCACGTTGTCCTGCAGCAGGCTGGAGTCTGGAAGGAGGCAGCACCGGCTCGTGGGGGGCTGCAGGGACCAGGGGCCCCGGGTCCCTCTCCACCTCTGCGCCTCCCGCTCACCGGTGTGGTCCAGGTTGTCCTCCAGCCAGCGCTTGGTGCCCTGGTAATTGAACTTGCCCCCTCCCGAGGCAAAGAAGAGGAGGTTGTACCTGTGGGGGGGGTCAGCTGGGCCAGGCGGGCCTGTGGGGCTCCCCCAGGACCCCTGCATTTTGCAAAAGGTGCGCCCCACCTGCAGCCCTCTTAGGAAACCCCGCAGCGCCCCTGCTTGCTCCTGTGGCAGGGTGCAGTGCGCCCCAGGTCCACCCTCACTGGACCCAAAGATGCCTGGAGCAGAATCTCTGCCAGCGTCACCAGCTAGGATGCCGCCGCCTGCGGGTCGGGGTGCCCTCCACCCAGAACCGTTCGGACACACAGGGTGACCACTGTGACCACAGCAACAGAGACCAGAGGGGCAGCCACCAACCAGGGACACCTGGGGCCCCACAGGGGGGATCAAAATACAGGATCCTGTGACGCCTGCATCCCGCAGAGACCAGAGGAGGCTTCCGCCCCAGTACTCGACCCACTGACGTTAAAAGCAGACACAGCCGGTGTGGCGGTGCACACTGCTCACCCCAGCACTCCGGGAGGCTGAGGCAGGAGCGCTGCGTGGTGGAGTCCAGCCTTGGCCCCTGACTCCAAGTTTAAAACTCCGGAGGCCTGGGGGCGTAGCTTGGCTGGCAGCCCCAGTGCTGCCCCAGGGGTGCAAGCCCATCGCCAGGCCTGCGGGTCCCTCCTCAGCTGTGCCCTGAGCTGCAGCCCGGCCCAAGAGTGAGTCTGTGCCAACCCAGGCCTTGATCCACCGGGACCCCCGAGGGCACAGAGGCACACTCGGGGCTCCCCTGCTTCTGGGAACTCAATTCCCACGGGGCGGCCCATGCTCCCTGCCGCTCAGCACTGCCTGCTGCAGCCCTGCTGTGACATCTCGGCAGGTGGCTGAGCCTGAGCCTTCCCAGCTCAGCCCTGAGGTGCCTGCGGTCCCAGGAGCTGGACACGGCCACAGGAGCTGGACACGGCCACAGGAGCTGGACAAGCTGGTTGTTCCCTGCAGCTCTGCTTTGTAGCTTCTGCAAAGGGACGCTGTCCCCTTAGCCCTATATTTAACCTGCTGGACTCAGACAAGCCTGCTGGTACTGGGCAGCCACCCTGGGACCGTGAGGAGAAGGCCCAGAGGGGTCCCGACACAGTGGCCCTGCGCCCGGCACCTATGGCCCCTGCCTAAGCCAGGTGCCATCGCTCAGCCATGTCTTGGGATCTCTATGGTTGTCACCACTGTAGTGGGTGGCAGTGGACTGTGCCCAGGATGCCCCCACAGAGAATGGCCGAGCTTCCTGGCTGGCTGCTGGCTGCCCCCGTGCTCTGTGCTGGCAGTGTGCCGTGCTCAGAGGTGTCTCGGGGTCCCTGGAGGTGACACTCACGCGGCGTGGGTGCGCTTGTAGGTGTAGAGCCGGGAGAAGAGGCGAGCCAGCTCCAGCAGCACGGAGACGCCGCTCCCGTTGGAGTCTGCGCCCAGAGACAGCCACTGTGGGTGGAGAGGTGGGGTCAGGGAGGCACAGCGGCCGCCTCTGCGGGACCCGCCACTTGGGCCCCAGTGTCCTTGCTCGATGCGCTCTGCCCTGTCCGAGCGGGCAGAGAGGTCCAGTTCTTAGCAAGACGGGAGTACCAGGCACTGTGACCAGGGTGTCCCCAAGAGCCTGCACACACCCAGTGTCACCGTGGTACTAAAGTGCATGGGGTGACACAGGATGCATGGCCTGGGCTCCGAGGACAGGAATTGCCCAGGACAGGCAGCTCCAGGGACAGGGGCCGGGTGACTGCTCCTGGCACGGCAGAACATCCTCAAAGTAGACAGTGGTGCCGAACGGTGTCCCACCACCCTGCCCGGTGGAGCTGTCCCCGTCCTGTGACGCCCTGAGCTGGGCCAAGTCCACCGTGGTGGGTGAGGGGCGCACCTACCGGGGCCACCCCGAAGGCGTCGTAGTGGGCCACGATGACAATGGTGGGGAGGTCCTCGCCGCCCAGCCCGGTCAGCCGCCCCTGTGGAAAGACAGTGTGGGAAGGGGCGCTGGCGCTCAGGGAGAGGGGGATGTGGGCGGGAGTCCCTGTGCACTGGGCTCATCCTTCCCCAGGACGCATCCACCAGGGCTGCGAGGGCCCCAGGGACTCCCTGAGCTGGGTAGTCACCAAGTTAAGCCCTGAGCCTCGGCCTCCAAAGGGGCCCCACTGGGCATGACCCTGTGCCCACAAAGCTTTATTTACAAAACAAGCAGCAGCCGGCCAGGACCAGGTCTCCGTACGCACATGCCCAGCTGGAAAGGGGGCCACCCCACGAAGCCCCTGCCGCACGGTGGCCGGGGCAGAGCTGGGGGGACACCTTCCGGGGAGGCTGAGGCGGAAAGGGTCCCGGTGAGGGTCCTGCAGTGACCATGGCCTCGGCCTCCCCAGAAACCGGCCACCCCAGCAGGTGTGACGGCTCACGCGCTGGGAGGCTGAGACAGAAGGGTCACAAGGTCCAGCCCAGCCCGGGCAGTTTAACACCTCAGTGAGAATCTGGCTCAAAGCAAAACAAACGAAAAAAGGTAGCAGATGCAGCTCAGGGTAAAGGCCAGAATTTGATCCGGATATTGTAAAACAAAACACAGGAACCACGAGAGCCAAGCCTGGCCCAGGGCTGCCCATGCGGCTGCTGGGAGCCAGCAGGGCGGGCAGCGTCCGGCTCCTGCTCCAAGCACCTGGAAGCCTCCAGGACCAATGCAGGGCCGACCAGGCCAACAGACGGACCCCGACACGGCGGGCAGGGCTCCCTGGGCTCTCCACACTCAAGACCTGGGACCCCCGGTGCAGCTCCAGAGTCAGGGTCTGCACCCCCTACCCCCCACTCTCCACCCTCAACCCCGCTGCCCTTGGACGCCCACGCCAGAAGTGAGGTTTTGGAGGAGGGCCAGGGTCCAGCTGGCTCACTGCTGTGCCCGTACGGGAGGGGCCAGCAGCCGTGACAAGGCCCAGAGGTGCGTGGGGGGCGGGTGGCCCGGCACTCACCTCCACGCTGGTGATGAGCCAGTCGCTCACAGCCTTGCTCTGGACCCCGCTGGTGACCATCTGGAAGCCGTTGGCGGTGGCTGTGTGCAGCAGCACTGAGGAGGAGACGGGGTGGCCGCCTGAGCTCGGGTGCCCGGGTGACAGCCCTGCCCCGGCACTTGCACCCGGGCGCCAGGTCTGCGCCTGTTTTTTGCATGATGAAAACACAGTCAAGCCAGGCGAGGTGGCGCACCCCTCCTGTGATCCCAGTCCCTGGGGGGCTGAGACAGGAGGATCGCCATGAGTTCCAGGTCAGCCTGGCCCGCCGAGTGCGTTCAAGGCCAGGCTGGGCTACATAATGAAACCCTGGTTCAAACAACCCTGAAAGAGGCCGGGCGTGGTGGCGCACGCCTGTCATCCCAGCACTCGGGAGGCTGAGGCAGGAGGATCGCTGTGAGTTCAGACCAGCCTGGGCTGCAAAGTGAGCTCAAGGCCGGCCTGGACTGCACAGCGAGATCCTGTCTCAAAAAGACAAACAAAACAAAACCCTGAAAGAAAGACACCCACAGTCACGGACCTGGGGTACAGCTCAGTGGGGGCATTTGCTTAGCCCAGGCCAGGATCTGGGACCCAACCCCGGGGGACCACATAAAACCCCAGACAAATGAATAAATAAAAACCACAGTTACTTGGGCAGCTGAGAGAGGAGGCACCCCAAGAACCCTATTTTTATGTCTTAACTGAATTTAAAATAAGTCATTTAGCTGTGACTGGTATGTTTCATTTTATATTGTTTTTCCCAAATCCGATACTTCCTCAAGGCAGTAACAATTTACCTCAATGACATTTTAACGGCCATATGACATTCCCCCCAGGACAATTTCCCGCTCCTTTTTTTGCAAATTCCTCTCTACTGCAGTTTGTCTAGGCTTTCACTGTGACCAGGGGTGGGAAACCTGTACAGGGACAGAGTTAACGCTTTCAAGCTTTGTGGGCCAGCCGGGTTGCCGTAGATGACCATAGCACAGGGTGGCCCCCGCGTGCCAATAAAACTTTATTTACAAAGTGGGGCCTGCAGGCCACAGTACACCAGGCCGGATGACCTGGCCAGGAACAAAAACCCTCACACCTCAAAGCATTCATTCATTGGCCATGCCGCTGGGCCGGAACCGGCCCCTGGCTTCCTCTTGTGTTCACTGATGACAGAGCCTTTCAGCTGTGACTCTTTGGTAACTTTTGTGCTCTTCCTTTTTTATTTTTCTTTGCACTGAGCTACGTCCGCTGCCTTTTTTTTTTTTCCCGTCTTTTTGAGACAGTCTCGCTGTGCAGCTCAGGGTGGCCTTGGGCTCACTTTAGCACCCAGGCTGGTCTCCAACTCACAGGGATCCTCCTGCCTCCGCCTGCGGAGTGCTGGGATTACAGGCGTGCACCACCACGCAAGCGGGTTTTTGTTTTTGGGAGACAGGGTTGTACTAAGTGGCCCAGGTTGGGTTTACACCTGCGATCTTCCTGCCTCAGCCTCTCGAGTCGCGTGGACTGCAGGCAGGCGCAGCCACGGCTCTCATCCAGCCCCCCCGCACGGGGTAGGGACCCCCTTGGGCAGCTGCCCCAGCCGCACCCACCTTCAGCGGCGGAGGCCGAGCCCTGGGAGGCAGAGGCGGCCTGGGTCTGCTCGTAGATGGACAGCAGGGCCTCGTCCTCCACGGCGAAGTACACGGGGACGAGGGTCTCCATGGCCAGCATCTCGGGCTCGATCTCCATGAATTGCTGAGGGCACAGCGCACTCAGCGCTCCCGGGCAGCCCCCCTGCTCCCCCGCGCCCTCCCGGACGCCCCGCCGGTCACTCACCCGGACCACGTCCTGGGGCACGGCGGCCATGGCCCGCGGCAGGATGATGACCACGGCGCCCGCCGACTGCCGCAGCGCCTTCTGGTACTGCGCATAGGAGAAGTCGGCCAGGCGCATGAGCACGCAGCGGCGGCTCAGCACGTCCGCGTCCACCGTGCGCGCCTCCGTGTTGAGCACGGCGTTCCGCGTGCCTGCGGGGTGGGGTGGGGTGGCAGGGTCACCTCGGGGCTCCCGCGGGTCACCCGCACACCCGTGCTGGGGTCCTCTGAGTGCACCGGGGACGTCCACGGAGCCCCAGCCCCGGTTCGGCCCTGCTCCAACTGGCCTCCCTGTGACCGGTGCCCAGGAGACCTCTTCCTCCAGCACTGGGGAACGCGCCCAGAGTCTGTGCTCCATCCCCCCTTATCTGTTGAGCCGGGGTCTTGCTAAGTTATTACAGGGCAGGGCTCCATCTCGGGATTCTCCTGCCTCAGCCTCCGGAGCAGCTGGGCCGACAGGCATGTGGCACCGGGACACTGTGCACAGGCTGTGGCAGCTGGGCCGGGCCGTGCTGCACCTCAGCCCTTGGTTTAGAGCGGCGCCCAGCCCTGCTTGGCCCTGGCCAGTTTGGTGAGAGTCTTTCCAGGTGGGGTGGGAGGAGCCCACCGCCTTTCCGTCCTAGCACGCGTCAGAGACCCAGGGCAGGCCATGACCGAGATTCTCGGCAGCACCCAAGGTCAGTTCCAGGCCAAAGCCCCGTGTACCAAAGGACACAGGACAAGGCCCCTCCGCTGTGCCGCCTCCCAGGCTCCCAAGGGCCCAAGGACACTGGGGTTTCCTAGCAAGGCTGAGAGCCGAGGTGACCCAGCAGGGCCACACTGTCTCCGCCTGGAGCTCCAAGTGGCTGCCCTGTCCCCACCAGGCTCCCGGGGACACTCGGGGCTCTGCACACAGGGTCCAGGTCTTTCTCTGTGAGCGCCCAGCCTCCACCTGGACCATGCCAGGGGCTCCCCCATCATGACCGCTACTCGTGTCCCTAGCTAGGACCCAGTGTCCTTGGGGAACAGAATTGCCAGGAGAGGCCCCGACAGGGCTGGGTTGGCAGTGAGACAAAGGCCCCTGCCACACCGGACAGAGGGACAGAGGGACAGGAAGGCATCTCCGCCTTGCCAGCTCTGGCCGCCCAGGCCTGCTGCCTGCGTCCCCATCTCTGTCCCCAGTGGAGGAGGCCCCTGGGGAGGGGGTGGCGGGGCAGGTGGGAAGGGACAGAGGCAGGGGCCCGGGACAAGCAGGGAGCAGCACTGTCCTGGTGCCCTGGCCGCTGCCGGGTGGCTCTGGTGTCACCCATTCTCCAGGGTGTCTCCGATGAGCCTGGTCACTGAAGGACAAAGTTGCGACCCTGCTTGTGCCCTGGACAGGAAGGTGGGCCCAAGGCACCCGGCCAGACACAGACACCCCTTGGAGTCACGGCACCCCCTTGCAGGATGAAGAAGGACTGCCCCATGTGACCCCCACACCCACCCAGCATGGCAGCGGACAGCCCACTCCCTTGTTGGGGAGCCGTCCTTGGGTGGGATCAGAGCTGGGATAGGTGGCCACGAGCTGCAGTGGGCAGAGCTCTCCATGTGCGCTCATGCCAGAGCCCAGCCTGCGCCCTGGGTCTGAACAAACGGAGGCCACAAAGCAGACGGGACCTGGGGAAGGGGCAGCGAACATCTCTGTGGAGGCTCCCTGGGTTGTCAAGGCATGGGGGGGGGGGTGGCCATGTGCCAATAAAACTTTATTGACAGCCACTCGTGGAGGACATGAAAGCTGGGGGCAGCTTCCCAGCTTCCCCAGATGGGAACCCAGACCCTGAGCTTATGTGGGACAGGACAGAAGTGTCCCGCACCACATGGGAAGGAAGCAGGCACAAGAGTCGCTCTGCAGGACAGCTGGGCCACTGCAGGTTTGCACCAGGCCCCACTGCGTCCATCCGTGGGCGCCCGATGCTGCAGGCCACTGTGTTTCTCAACAGAGGAAGTTGGGTAAGGTGTGCCCGCCAGCAAGACCTCAGCTGGCGGCAGCGGGTGGCCAGGAGCCCCAGATCAGGCGCTGAAGATACTGGGCCAGTGACTTACTCCCCAGTGACTCACCCCACCTCACCCCACCCCTGCACACAGGCAGCGTCCTGGGGAGCTGGACCTTTGCCTCCGAGTGGCAGAGACAGGTGGCCCATGGGTCCCTCTGTCAGCACTGGGGGACCATGGCTTCTGGGTCTCCCGTCGGGAGCAATGAAACGTGCTAGGGGCGCTGGAGGGGCTGTAGCAAGTGGGGGGCAAATGATACGAAGCCCCACAAACTTTCAGGCAGGCAAGGGTGCAAGAAGAGGGGACATCAGCTGCCTGCCAGGCACACCTGGTCCCCCCGCCCCTCCCCCCTGCTGGAGGCAGCTTGGGGGTACAGGGATGGTGGTGGGGTGGCTGAGTAGGGGCATGTCACCAGGGAAGCAGGTCTGCGAGCTGGTCTCCCCTCCACAGGCTGCTCTGGGAAGAGTCCCGGAGCCCAGAGCTGTGTCACCCAGTGGCAGCCGTGATAGTGGGGCATCATGGCTTGGGTTTACTAGCATCAGACAGCTGTGGACCTCTGCTCCCTGCCCCTCCGTGGCAGGTGGCTCTGGAGCGGCACCCAGAAGACACTGAACACAATGGATCGTGTAGCAATCAGATCTAACCGAGGGCGCCTGCCCCAAGTGATCTCTCTAGCCAGAAGCTGCCAAGCAGCTGGTCCACAAAGCACATGGGACATGGGGACCCCTGGCCTTTGACGCCACCCCCAGTGATGCTGGGTTTACAGCATCACTCTAACCCAGGGTCCCTTCTGGATCCAGGTGTTTATGGACCGTCCGGGCACTGCAAAGGGCTAAGCACAGTCCCCGGCCTCTGCCGCCTCCACGCCAGGACTTGCCCCAGTTGTGCCAACCTCATCCGTCACCAGACATGAGCCAGCGCGACCTGAGCTGACAACCACTGCTCTAAAACGACTCAACGCCAGGCAAAATGGAATCGGAAGGGCTGTCATGATCCCCAAGAGCCTGGCCAGTGTGCAGGGATGCGGGGAGCTTGGGCTGGACCTGCGGTTCCAACAGCCGGGAGCACGTGGCCCAGCACGGGAGGCTCCTTTACAGGGAGGTCACAGCTCGAGGTTAGGGACTCACTAGGACGAGGACCTGGCCAGGACGAAGACAAACCAGGGACCAGGACCTTCTGCTCCGCGAGCCACAGTCAAGAGACCAAAATTGGAACAGGGCGGTCACTGGGCTCAGGACCAGGCCAGAGGCGTGGAGGGCAGAGGGCAGGATCCAGGCCTGCGGAGTGAGGTGGAGCTCAGTCGGGGTTCAGGAGAACCCCGAAATCTTGGCAAGGGGGAGCAGGTGACATTTTGCGTAGAAGAGGATGGCGAGGAGGCTGAGCGGCGGGGCGTGCGTGTGTCAACGGTGGGATCCAGAGCAGGTGCGGGCCGGGACAGAGGCCGGGGTGAGGTCGCGGTGCACGGGGCGGGGCGGGGGTCGCAGGGGGCGGAGGCAGCCCGGGTCCCGGGTCCCGGGTCCCGGGGTGCACAGGCCCGGCTTGGCGAGGTCGCGGGGGACGGGAAGGGCCACACGGCCGGGCGGGCACGCACCGTAGGGCTGGCCCTGCAGGTCGTACTGCTGCATGCGGTACACCGTGAACTCGTGCGCGGCGTCGGCGGCGGGCAGCGGCGGCGCCACAAGCAGCAACACGGCGGGCAAGAAGACGATGAATCCGAGCGGCAGGCACGACGCCTTCAGCATGTTCTCCAGCACCTCTCCCGCTTCTTCCAGCATCCTGGACGGCGGCGGAGGCCGCGCGGAGCGGCGGCGGGGACGCGACGGGTACGGGACGGCGGCGGCTACAACCGCGGACTCACCTCGGCATGGGCAGCCGCCGGGGTCCTGCGGGCGCCGCGCCGGGCAGCCCGTGTGAGCCGCGGGGTCCTGCGGGCATCGCTGCGGACAGCCCTGCGGGCCGCGAGGCACCTCAGAAGTTGTAGTCCCCAAGGCGTGCGCGGGCCCACCTGGGACTTGTAGGCTCACTCTGGGACTTCCCGAAGGAAATTATAGGGGAGATTAACACTACGGAAATGTTACACGAACTCCAAGTCAGCAAATACAGAGACTTAAAAAAACTACTTTTCAGTAGAACTCGATTTAACTGTCACTGGCGTGGAATGGGAGTGGGGAGCTATGACCTTGCAACCCGGAAGGAAGTAAGGACTAAGAGAAAGAGGAAGCGCTCGTCTGGCGCTCTCGGTCTTCTGGGAAGTGTAGTCCTATCTAAAAGGAGCACAAAGGATCACGGGAACTGCAGTCTTTACATAATCTCTTAGAAAAAAATTAAAATTCCAAAGAGTATAGATGTTAAACTGTTTGCAGACTCAGATCTTAACCTGATTTGTGTATTAAAATGTATCCACAGACACCTGGAAACAACTCTTAGCACGCCATTGGTGGGCCATATACAATTTTAGGGTGAATGAACGGAAAAAGACTTTTTAAAAAATCATGATACCCATTGCTAAAGGGATGATGCGATGGATTATGGGATTTGTAGTCTGGATCCGCGAGCAGGTGCAGGGGCTGGTGGCGTGTATATACTGTACTTATCTTCATTTGTATTGAGGGCGTATAGACATTGAAGAATCACTTGCTGTTTATGAGCAATTCAGATCTGCTTTTTAATTGACCCGTAGCGGTATTTCCTTAATCTGACACCCATGAGAGGTTTGAGCAGTTTATGGAACATCATAACTCATTCCGCCCTTGAGCTGAAGGGAAGACGGAGGTCAAGGGAACAGAAGTGAACGGCCAGGCCCACGACCAATCGGCCGCCTTCGGTCCCCTGTGAGAAGCAGCGTCCGTGATCTGTAAACGCACGCCAGGCCCTCCCATCCCCGGCTTGGGTGTCCAGCGGGCTCCATCGCTCTGGGTTGTTTCTTCTCCTGTCACACAGGACGGTAAATGATTGCCCACCGGTCACAATGGCTGGAGGTGGAGCTCGGTGAGCGAGTGCTTACCAAGTGCGTTCCAAGATCCAGCACTGGAAAAACGTTGTCAATAAGAAAATCAACACCAGAGCCGGACGGGTGGTGCACGCCTGTCATGGCAGCATTCAGGAGGCCGAGGCAGGAGGATCGCTGCAAGTCCAAGACCAGCCTGGGCTACACAGTGAGCTGGGGACGGGCCTGAACTGCACAGTGAGACCCTGTCTCAGACCCAAAGAGAGAGAGACAGACAGACAGAGAGAGACCCCAAAACTCAGTGTAAACCCACATAAGGCTCAGCCATGAAAGGATGGCGGACAGTTCCTAGTGAAAAGCCTGCTCTTCCTGGATCCCTCACAAACCGAGTGCGACCCTTTTTTTCTTCCTCCCCCAGCTCTGTTTTGGGATACACGCTGAGGACAGTCTGTATCTTGTTATTTTGAGACAGGATCTGACCGTCATTCAATTGCCCGGGTTGGGCTCACACTTGAGACCCTCCCGCCTCAGCTCTCCAGGTGCCGGGATGGCAGGCGTGCAGCACCGCGTCTGGCTCGCAGCGTGGATTTTAAGAAACGTAGCGACCCGGTCCGTGCTGTTTATGGCTGTCAGCCTGTACCCAGAATACAGCCAGGGAGTCAGTGGGAAGAAGGAGGGAGGTAAGGAACCAAAGACCCAGCCACTCCTAGCTGCGACCTGCTCTGGTCCCAAGTCCACACAGGTGACAGAAGAAGGGGGGGGAGCTGACCTTGGCGCGTGCGCTCTCCGGAGAACCTCTTCTCCGCCCCCCTCCCCCTGCCCGCCCCACCTTGTCCCAAGCCAGAGGTGTGAATGCACGCGAGCTGCAGGGGCTGGGGTGCGGCTCAGCGGGGAGCGCTGGTCTGGTGACCCCAGCCCTGACTGAGCTCCTCCCCCAGGCCCCCAAGGCAGAGTGCCGCGCCCAGAAAGGGGCCTGGCCCTGGCCCCAGGGACGACTCAGTGCCTGTGGCTGCTGCCACCTCCGCACCCTCCCGAGCTTTGGTTTTTTGTTTTGTTTTATTGTGGTCTGTAAAATGGGGCGATGCGGCAGGGCCTGGTCCCAGCCTGCATCCCAGATCCTGTGATCCCAGCAGAATGCTAAGTTCGAGCCCAGTCTGGACAACGTGGCGCGTTAGCGAGATCCTGTCTTGAAATAAAACAAATCAAAACGGCTGGGGAAGAACCTCAGCGCAAAGGCCCTGGGTCCAGTGAATGGATGAAAAATAAATAGTTCATCTCAGGCACCTCACGGGGTGGGACCTGGGAACAGCTCACAAGAGCACAGACAGGCCAGGGAGCTGCAGGCTGCCCCAGTTCCTGTCACCCTGAATCCTGCCTGCTGCAGTCCCAGAAAAACACCCAGGACAGGAATAGGAAGACAGAAGAAATGCATCAGAGCTGGGGGTTCTTGTGCACCCTGTCACCCCAGCACTCTGGGAGGCTGAGGCAGGAGGATCCTGAGTTCCAGGCCCAGCCTGGGCAACTCAGCAACTCATGGAGGCCCTTTCTCAAAAAAAAAACACAAACCGAAAACCCCGGGGAAGTAACTCAGTATGAAGCCCTGAGTTCGATCCCTAGAGGACAGGGGCTTGGCAAGGTCCCTGGGGAGTGACAGTCTCCCTCCTGGCCTCAGGAGGAGCCAGCCCTGCCCGCACCTTGACCTTGGACTTCTGGCCTCCAGAGCAGGTGAATGTGTGTCTCCTGTGGCCACCCGACCTGTCCCAAAGGAACTTTATTTAAGCAGCCCTAAAGTACAGCGCGCTGAGAAGCTGAATTTCAAATGTCATTCATTTTAATGATCTGAGGCAGTGGTGTGCTTGTGGCTGTGGGTGTGGACAGTGCGGGTCGCCATCACCACTCCCCGACAGCCACACGCAGAGAAATAACGACTCAGAGTGGCACCGTAGCACCCTTAGGCAGCAGGCGGGTGACCCCGACTCCTGACTCCTCACCCCCAGCGCCTGCAGAGCAGGGGACAGGGAAGTCCTCAGGGCTAGGCTGTGTCAGCCCTAATTGGCAGCCGGCACCTGCTCTCACCCTGGGCCATCTCGGGCCTGTGGTGGTGTTGATTCGTGTTAGTTCCGTTCTTCATTTATACATCTCACTGGGCCGATGTTTAAAGTACCAGGCAGGGCGTGAACAGAGTGACCACCCATCCCCTCCTGAGCTCAAAGGGGATGACACTCTGTAGCCACGGTGGGCCCCGCCACGAGCCCATTTCACAGATGCAGAAAGTGGGGGCAGTGAGCCTGGAAGGAGAACGCTGGGCATCATCTCACTGGGACAGGAAGCGTTTTGGGCCTCTGCTTCTCTGCTGGGCCCCCCGAGGGAACCCCAGAAGATGCAAAGAAAGGCCAGAGCTGTGGGAGGAGGCCAGGTATGGTGGCATAACCCCTGTCATCCCAGCAATCAGGAGGCTGAGGCAGGAGGATCCCCTTGAGTTCAAGGCCAGCCTGAACTGCACAGTGAGACAGTCTCAAAAAATTGAAAGGAAGGAGAGGGGGCCTCACACGATGGAGTGGGGATGGGGGGCCTGGCTTCCCCAGAGGAAATGAGGACAGACAGACAGACAGGTGCCAGAGGCTGTCACAGTGCGCTGGTGCACACACATGTACATGCACAGACGCGCACATGCGAGCAGATGTAAGGGCTCCGCATGCAGCACCCCACTCCCAGCCAGCTCCCCAGCACCCATGAGGAACGGCCGCTGCCGGCCCTGCCCGCCGGCTGTGAGCACCAGCACCGGATGACTGCGTGGCCCGAGGAGCCTGCGGTGTCCTTGACTTGAGTGTCCCCAGGGTCCAAACCCCGCAGCCCGGCCCTCGCCACCGGGGTGTCCCGCAGAGGCTCGGGGCGACGGTGGGCCTCCCCCTGAATCCACAGGAGCCGGCGCCCTAGTCCCAGTTTCCTGTCCCCGGCGCTGCTGGGGTCAGTGTCCACGTCCACGTCCAGGTCCCGCCTCGTCCGTCCGCCGTCCTCCCCGAGGCCTCAGGTGCTCTTGACGCTGGACACGCTGGCCAGGGGCTCCCGCATCCTGAAGCTGAGCGAGCGGGAGCCCCGGAAGCTGTCCCCGGGCCTCAGCGAGCTGTCGGTGGCCGAGGCCGAGGCCGAGGGGGGCTCGGTGGCCGCGCGCAGGCAGTCCCCGGGCCCGCGCAGCCCCAGCCGCAGGCAGCCGGCGCACAGCAGGCCCAGCACGGCGCGGCGCAGCTCGCGGCTGCGGCAGGTGTAGATGAGCGGGTTGACGGCCGAGTTGGCCACGGCCAGCGCCAGCGTCCAGCTCCGGCCGCGGACGTGCGCCTGCAGCCCGGCGCCCAGCGCGTCGGCCAGCAGCAGCGCCAGCAGCGGCCCCCAGCACACGGCGAAGGCCGCCAGGATCAGCACGACCGTGCGCAGCAGCCGCCGCGCCTTGGGGCGCCGGGGGGCGCCGCCGGCCCGGGCCAGCCTGACGATGGCCGCGTAGAGGCCCAGCACGGCGGCCAGCGCGCAGGCGAACAGCGCCAGGCAGAAGCCCACGTAGCTGCGGCTGTAGAGCGGCAGCAGCCGCGAGCAGCGCTCGAAGGCGCACACGCAGTTCCAGCCGAGCGCCGGCAGCAGCCCCAGCAGCGCGGCCAGCAGCCAGCAGGCGCCCGCCAGCCCCAACACGCGGGAGCGCCGCGCCGCGCGCGCCTCGGCCGCCCGCCAGGGCCGCGCCATGGTGGCCAGGCGCTCGGCCGCCGTGAGCAGCAGGCTGAGCGCCGAGGCGGCCAGCGCGGCCAGCAGCAGCCCCTCGCGCAGGAACCAGTGCGCGGGCGCCAGCCGCGGCGTGCGGGGCCCCGACAGCAGCACGTTGGCCAGGTAGGCGCCGCCCGTGAGCAGGTCGCTGAGCGCCACGTTGGCCAGGCACACGTGCACCCAGCGGCGGGCGCGCAGCCGCGTGGCCAGGGCCGCCAGCACCAGCAGGTTGCCCAGCACCACCAGGCCGCCCACCGCCGCCAGCGGCCCGCGCAGCGCGTCCTCGGGGCCGGCGCGCCCCGCAGCCCGGCCCGAGTGGTTGTAGTGCAGGACGATGAGGCGGCTGTGCCCGCTGGCCGCCAGCTGCGAGCAGGTCTCCTCGGGGGCCGCAGGCCGCGGAGGAGGAGGAGGCCACCCGCTGGCGTTCATGACCTCCCGGCGGCCGACTGAGGCCGGCAGGCAGGGCGGAGCCGCCTGCCTTGGTTTCCTGTTGTTTGAAATTTCCTGTTATGTTCAGGGTACCCCCTGGGGTGAGGGTGAGGGCAGGGAGGGGCACCCCAACGGCTGCCGGCTGCGGGCAGGGGCCCCGGGGCAACGGCTGGGGACAGGCATCCTCCTCCGTGACACAGGGACACCGACGCCCTCGGGAGGGGCACAGGAGGGGCCCCAGAACCACAGGGCCCGGGACAGGTGCTGCCACCTGTATGCACCACACCTCCCCAGAGGGACACCAGGCCCCCACCCCGAAACTCCCCTTCCCGACCCCCCGCCTTCCCCCCAGCAGCTCCCAGCTTGCACGTATACAGCAGGCGCTTAATCAGTGCTTACCCTTGCCCAGCACTGAGCACCCTGGGCCAGGCACACTGCAGGGCTGGGCTGGACTTGCCCAGTCTGTTTGTTCACAGACGGGAAACTTGAGGTTCATAGAGGCAATCCCCCCAAGCCCGACACCCCTTGGGGTTGGTAGCTGGCTGCATCACCGGCCACCTCCAGCTCCCGATAGGAGCAGAGCTGGGGCTGGCCCTCCCCCACACCCCCAGTGATACAGGTCAGGGTGTCACAACCTCAGACTCTGGGGGCGGGGAGGAGGATGAGGCTCCACTGTCACCAACGGGTGGTGAGGACAGGGCCTGCTGCTGGCCCACCCTGTGCTTCGGGCCCTGCTGCTGCTGGCCCACCCTGTGTCTCGGGCCCTGCCTCTCCCCAGCATGGTTTGGGGTGCAGCCCTGAGCCGTGGGAGGAAGCATAGGGCCCAGGACTCCCGGTCACATCCAGCCCCTCAGCCAAGTCCCCAGCTGTCCCCAGGGCCACCAGCCGTCCCAAGCCCTAAGGTGTGCATCCCGCAAGGTGCCCGCGTGCCCACAGGGAGGCAGTGTCCCCGGAAGGGCAGGGAGACAGGCTGAGCCAGCTGCACCCCCACCCGTGGTGGGCCAATGGCCAAGAAGCCACGCAAGGCTGGCAGGGGAGAAGCCAGCGCTGGTCACTGAAGGTGACAAAGCCTCAGCTCTGAGTCCCCATCCCAGCCTGGGCCTGGAGCATTCCCCTAGCACACTCAGGGACCCGGGCTCTGTCACCAGGCAATGGAGATTGAAGGCAAGCTGAGGTCTGCACGCAGCAGAGCGGCTGTGCCATGGCCCACAATGGAGTACTATACAGCGGCATAAAAGCACCAGGAAATTCTCCATGAGGAAAGCACACTCAGTGACTCGCTCGGTGAGTTCTCCTGCCTCAGCCTCCTGAGTGCTGAGAAGAACAGGTCCTTGCCACTAATGCCTGGCACCCAATACATGCTGTAGCAAGCCCAGTGTGGATGCCACTCTGTAATCCTGGCACTCCGGGAGGCTGAGGCAGGAGGATGAGCATGAGCTCGGAAGCCTGCCTGGAATACTAGTGTGACTCTGTCACAAAAACAAAGCAAAACTAAACAGAGGAGAGAAATGATCCGGGGGTACTGATGCCAGGAACCGCATGGGGGGAACGGAAGATGAGCCTGGAAAGTCTCTGCATGCCAGAAGTCAGGACATGCTCGGGGGAGATGGGACCCTCCCAGGGACACAGTGGGGTCCCCAGTGACTGGCGAACACTCCCCGGTATCTACAGAAGAGAACTCGTAAGTGTCCACTTGGAAATGTGCACAGAAATGTCCAGAAGGAAGAGTCAAATTACACAGAGTGGAAAAACCGTATCCCCCACTGGTGAATGGATACACACCATGCAATCCATCCATCCGACGGACTATTACTAAGCCAGGAAAAGGAGAGGACAGGCCTCAGGGACACTGCGGTTAGGGAACCACGACAGACACAGAAGGACAGACACCCAGAGCGTCCTCCTCCCAGGAGGGCCCGGCCTGGTCGGATCCACAGTGACAGGCAGGAGGATGGTGGTGCCGGGCTGGGGAGGGATGGAGGCTTGGCTGGGGGAGGTAGGAAGTCCTCGAGGTGGACAGTGCGTCCAGCACACAGATCAGGATACACTTGATGCTTCTGAGCCGGGCACTCTGAGATGGTTAAAATGCACGTTTTGAGCCGGGCATGGTGGCTCATGCCTGCCATCCCAGCACTTGGGAGGCTGAGGCAGGAGGATCGTTGCAAGTTCAAGACCAGCCTGGGCTACACAGTGAGCTCAAGGCCAGCCTGAACTTCACAGTGAGACCCTGTCTCAAAAACTATTTTCCTGGGGCTGGGGATTTAGCTCAGCGGCATAAGCACCTGCCTTCCAAGTGTGCAGTCGTGAGTTCAATCCCTCTTACTGATAAAAATGAAAAAGACCAAAAAAAATTTTAAAAAGAAAAACTATTCTCCTCCTAAAAAAGATGACATCTAACCCTTTTTTATAATTAATAACAATGGTGGAACAGGAAACACAATGTCCACCACACTGGGCATTAGAGAATATTAAGGAATCTGCAGATTTCCCACTGCTGACCACCGCTGTGATTATAAAAGACGCCCTTGTCTTCAGGAGATGCATGGTGTCTTCGGCATACTAAAGAAAAATTCATGAAAAAGTAAAAATAGCCAGCTAGGGGGTGTATGCATGTAATCCCAGTACTGGGAGGCTGAGGCAGGCAGATTGCCACGAGCTGATCAAAATACATGTTGAAGCCTTAAATTTTTTAAACGTATTACAGTAAAAGCCACGTTGCCATGAATCTTCTGGCTCCTTCCCAGAACAATGACAGGGAAATGTTTTGAATCCATTCAAGACATTGAAGCAGCCAGGACAGCACAACTAAAGACATAGAAAGGGGACTCAGAGCTGGTCCACCGTTTGCGGACGAGGCTGTCTCCTGTGGTGCGAGTCTGCGGCCCCTTTGTCAAAGATCAAATAGTTGACTGTGCCTGGGATGGTCACTGTTTCCTTTATTCTGTTCCACTGATCCTCATGTCTGTTTTTTGTGCCAATGCCGTACTGTTTTTATCGTGGTATCTTTGTAATATGATTTTTTGGTACCAATGATCGAACTCACAACCTTGCACTTGCCAGGCAGGCACTTATGCCACTGAGCTAAATCCTCAGATCCAGGGTTCTGATGCTTTGTGCATGTTTACCAGAATTGCTGTTGCTTTTCTGAATCTCTCCGGGTTCTGTGTGAATTTTAGGGTTGTTTTCTCCAGTTCTGGGAGACCGCTGTTTGTACCTTGAGTGGGCTTCCATGAAATCTATCTGTCAATCTGGGAAAATTGGCCATCTGCATGCAGATGGTTGACTCTAGAGCTGTATCTCTCACCATGCACTAAAATAAAATAAAAATGGATCAAAGATTGAAATATTAAAACAGAATCTTCTGGAAGATCAAATAAGTAAAACTTTTTGAGACAGGGTCTCATTGAGCCTTTAATATACTACATAGTGGAGGGTGCCCTCGAACCCTCAGAGATCCTCCTGCCTCAGCCTCCTGAGTGTTGAGATTACAGAAAAAATAAACTCTTCAAGATACAGATGTAACCAAGGACTTTCTGAACAAAACCCCAACTACACAAGAAACAACAATACAACTCAACAAACTAATGGGATCATACTGAATTAATATTTTTATTTTGAATTTCTTTGAGCCAGGGTTTCGCTAGGCAGTTCAGGCTGAACTTGACTTGCTCTATGGCCCAGGCTGGCCTGGAACTCACAGTGATCCTCCCGCCTCAGCCTCCCGAGAGCAGGGATTACAGGCAAGTGTTGTCACACCTGACAGATGATAGCAAATTAAAGTTTCTGCACAGCCAGGAAACAACCATCAAAACGAAGAGATGATGTACAGAAAGGGAAAAACTGCCTGCATTCCTCTGACACAGGACTAGTATATATATAAAGAACTCAAACATTAAGCCCCCTCCAGAAGAAAAGCCCTTATCAAAAATAGGCAACTGAAAGGAACAGATACTTCTAAAAGAAGTAATAAAAAGAACAAATAAATACACGTCCAAAGTGTTCGGCATCGCTGCCCGTCAGACAAAGGCCAATTAAAACAACACTGGATTCCATCTGGCCCCAGAGAGAGTGGCTGCCATCCAGAGATCAAATAACACCAATTGCTAGCGGGGCGTGGGGAAAACGGAGCCCTTCCACATGGTTTGGGGGTGCAGACTTTCACAGGCCCGTGGAAGCTGGTGTGGAGGTCGAAGAATCCTCAAAAGCCTGAAAGCAGAAATCCCATTTGACCCAGCCGTTGATCTTTCTTCCTGAAAAAGCTAAAGACGTCACATTACGGTGACGCGCGGATGCCCACGTTTACAGGAGCGCACGTCGTAATAGCTACACACTGCAAATGGTCTGTGCGCCCACCCATGGGTGAATGGGCAAGGAAAATATGGTGATTACTTCCGTGGAGAACTACTCTGCCGCGAACAAGGATGAGCCGGAGTGATTTGTAGGGAAAAGAATGCACCTTGGGCCATAATGTTAGATGGAAGAAACCAGACACACGAGCTTAGATGCTCGTGTTTTCTCTCACATGAGAATCCCACAGTATAAAGATGCATGGTGCAAATTAGGGAGAAAGGCCTTGTGCAAATAAGAAAGGCACCCAGAGACCAAAGGAGGGGGAGGGGGAGGGGGAGTGGAAGGGTTAAGATGCCTGTCCTGGCCGCTCGCCACGATGAAGGCGATCACTGCGACTTATTTTTGAGACAGGGTCTCACGGCGCAGGGCAGCCTGGTCTTCAACTCGCTTCGGTAGCCCCGGCTTAGGCCCTCTGCGCATGCTCCTGACAGATGCGCACTCGGAGCTTGGGAGAGCGTGCTCGGTCTGCCGCAGGGCCGGGGTCCCCCGCCAGTGTCCCCCTCGCTGCGCCTCATTAGTGTAAGTTACACGCTCGGTTCTCAGCCAGCGCGCCTTTCAGAGCTTCGGAGCACTGGATATCTCTCTCTGCAAGACGTTTTCGATCCAACGTTGGGTGCATTCGATTCTCTGCCGCTGGAGGGGCCGAGCGGGCCGAGGAGCGGCTGTGAGAACCACAGGTGCGGCCAGGTGCTGATAAAACTGTCCACAGAAGGAGCCTCAGCGTGGGCTTGGGCCCGCGGGGCCCCTGGCCGCCTCCCCGCTCTCCATCCCACCAGGGGCTGCATGGAAGCAGTTGTAATCACTTCACAACTCCTGTAGTCTGAGGTCTTTTCAAAATAAAAACACGAGGAAGCTGTAATCCCGGCCCTTGGGAGGCTGAGGCAGGAGAGTCCCCTGGACTTTGAGGCCAGCCTGGGGCACATAGTGAGTTCTAGGCCAGCCTGAACTAGATAGACCGAAAAAACAAAATCAAAACTAATAAATAAATAGAGGAAAATATACTCAAGCTACCTCGACGGGATGTAATAGGATCCTGATAGGACCTCTGTGTCACCATTGAAACCCATAATCCCAGTTGGCCATGACAAAAAAAAATAAGCCCCAAGGGAGAGGTTTTTTGAGGGGAGACACTGAAGATTGAAGCCAGCGTCTTCCTCCTGAGCTGTATCTCCCACGCTGAACGGTATCTTCTATTTTTTGAGGCAGAGTCTCACTGTGTGAGTCAACCTGGCCTTGAACTCTCTATGTGGCCAGGCTGGCCTCCAACTTGTGTTGATCCTCCTGCCTCGGCCTCCCTAGTGCTGGGATCACAGGCGGGCGCCACCACACCCCGCTCAGGTTTTGTTTTTTTCCTCAGGCTGCTGAGACAGGGACAGAACTTTCTCCTTCCCCAGGTTGTTCCCCTGCCCCACAGCTCCGCACCTGCCCAGGTCACTGGACGAGCGAAGGGGGTGCGGGTGGAGAAACCAGACGGCTGGTGACACGGGTCCTAAGAAACCACAGGTCTCCGGAGTGTCGTTTCTTTAATGTCCATCTTGAGGGCGAGGGAATAAATACAGAAAGCTATTGGCACGGTGTATGCCCGGCTTCCAGCCTGGGAGGGAGGGAAACCCCTGATCCGTGCCTCAGTTTCCTTCCCCTGCAAGCCGGGGAAGAACACTGAGGCTTAAGGCTCCAGAAGAGCCAGGATTCTCGGCCCGGAAGAGCTCAGCAAGGAGCTGCTGCCATTGCCCACCAGGGGGCGCCCGAGTCCGCTCCTGAGGGTGGGTTCCTGATCCCAAGGAGGGTGACCCTGGAGGGGGCGCCACACCCCTGCCCGGGGACACACTCGCAGGTGGGGGTCCCTAGGAGACCCAGCCACGCATGTTCACGTCGCAGGTCGCCTGGATGTCGTTGCCTTTTCCTCCCCACCCCCAGCATCCCCAATGGCCATTCGACTCCATTTCCACTTTCCAAGGGGGTAAACTGAGGCAGTGTCCCGTAAGAGCCATTCAGGGATCCACCTGCCCAGCAGGTGTCACCGCCCTGAGCCTGCGGGTCACAGCAGGTTGATCTCGTCCAGGTAGCGGGCCAGCACCGAGTCCCGCACGTCCTTGAAGACCTTGCGGATGTTCTGCGTGTCTGTGGCGCACGTGTAGTGGCTGAAGAGGCGGCGGGAGCGCGGGCCCCGCTTGCTGCCCTCAGGGCCCTCCACGCAGCCCGTGTACATCCCCGTGTACATCTCCAGGATGAATTTCTTGGCGGCTTCCGCATCCCGCTTGGGGCCTTTGGGGAAAAGAAAAGGGGGTCAGGGTCCTCTAGGCTCTGGGGACCCCCGGCCCCATAACCTGGCTGGGAGTCACCAGTACCACAGCCGCCATCTTTACCGCGCCTGGGAACCTTTTAGTTCACAGCTGGTCACATGACACGAGTCACATGACACAGCCTAGCCAATAGGAGCCTCAGAGTCTGATTCATAGGCATCACGTGACCTGAAATGGGCCAATGAGAATCAAGTGTGGGATTTTGAGCAGAATCTAGAAAGCGGTTCACTCTAGTCTAGGTTTGGAGCTGGAGATTCGGGAATGTGGAACTGAGGTTTTTTTCCTTTTTTGAGACGGGGCCACGCTATGCAGTTCAGACTGGCCTTGAGCTCACTTTGTAGCCCAGGCTTGTAATGATCCTCCTGCTTCAGCCTCCAGAGGGGTGGGACTGCAGGCGTGCGTCACCACACCTGGCTCAGGAGTTGAGAGTTTAAACATAGTAAGAATGTTCAGATGGGGAAGCACAAACCAAAGGAGAAGCGGGGAGTCCCCAGGTCACCCTACTAGGGGCCACCCTAGTGGGCACATCAGGGAGAACAATACAAGATGTGACCTGAAAGCACAGTGTTTACATTTTTAAAAATTATTACAAGACAGGTCGCCATTATCGTCCTCAGGACACACATACAGTGCTTAAAACATACTTTCCCCAGTGCTTGTCACTTAGAGACAGCTCTGGAACCCCCTTTCCTGGGTGTCCACTGTGGCTGCCCCAGTGTCCTCAACAGATTTAAAACGTTTCCCTTTCACGGTCCTGTTGATTGTGGGGAGGAGCCAGCAGCTGAAGGACGGAGATCCCGTAAATAAAATTTCGGTGCCTGCTTTTAGGAGGCGCCTTTGTGTTGGATGGCACCCGGCGGTGGAAGCTACGGTACCTTTTACTCTCTCGTAAAGTCACTCAACAAAGAGGACTCCAGGACAGCACCAGAAAGTGGCAAAAACCCAGCATGGTGGAGCATGCCTGTCCTCCCCATATTTGGGATGCCGAGGCAGGAGGATCAAGGCTGAGAGTTTAAGTCCGGCCTGTGCTATTTAGAGGTTCCTTGTCTCAAAAACAAAAAGAAAATAAAGTAATAAGAATGAGCTGAGTGTGGTGGCGCATGCCTGTAACCCTAGCCATAGGGAGGCTGAGGCGGGAGGATCCCTGGAGTTCGAGGCCATCCTGGGCTACTTAGTAAGCTTAAGGCCAGCCTCGACTATATAGTGAGACCCTGTCTCAAAAAAAGTAATCAAGACAATAGGCTGAGGGAGTACAAAACGAGGGGAGGGTTTTGACGAGGATTCCTGGCATTGCGGCTTTTACTATAATAAATACAAAAAATTTAAAATATTCACTAGGTTTTTACATTTGGTACATATATGAGGAAAAATGTGAAGTTAGGGCTTTTGGGGACCTAGACTTGGCTTTGCTCTCATTGGTCAGACTAGCTATTAATCCTTGTAACCTCTGCAAGCCTCAGTTTGCTCATCTATAAAATGGGCATACAACTCTGTCATCCCAGCACTCGCCATTCTACAGACAGGGAAACTGAGGCTCCCAGAGATTAAATTGCTGGGTGGGGGACTCAGGTCCCCTCCTGTTTACCCCTGGCCTGAGATGGGGCCCCCCGAATCCCCAGGGCCCGCTCACCCTGGAAGCTGGGGAAGTAGGTGGCCAGGTGGGAGGTGGGGATCTTCTCTTCCAGGATGTCGGTCTTGTTGAGGAACAGGATGACCGAGGTGCTTTTGAACCAGGGCAGCTCCAGGATGGTGCCGAACAGGGCCAGGCTCTCCTTCATGCGGTTCTGTGGGCGGGGAGACCATGTGATGGGTCTGTGCAGCCAGCTTGGCCCCTGAGCCTGGGCTGCACCCACCCACTCGCAGGTTTGTGGGGCTGGGCCCGTGGCCTGTTTGAGCCTCACGTGCCCAGGGTGAGGGCTGTCCCCCGCCCTCCCGAGAGTAACCTTTGAGGTTGGACTAGAGGTCCTGCTAACCCCGAGACAGGCGTCCTTATGACAAGGTGGTGACACACACCTGACATCCCTGTCCCTGGGAGGCTGAGGCAGGGGGATCCCAAGTTCAAACCCAGCCCGGGTGGCTTAGTGACTTAGCAAGAGTCTGTCATAAAATAAAAATAAAACAAAAAAGGTGGGGGCAGAACTCGCACAAAAGCCCCAGGACTGGGGTAAAGAGGGCGGCAGTGATCTAGGTGACATTTTTTTCTTTTGTCTTTTTGAGACAAAAGGGTCTTGCCATGTGGTTCAGGCTGGCCTTGAGCTCACTTTGTAGCCCAGGCTGGTCTTGAACTCGCAGCAATCCTCCTGCCTCAGCCTCAGGAGTGCTGGGATGACAGGTGTGCACCATCACGCCCCCCTAAGGTGACATTTCTATAAGCCATGGATGTCGAGGTCCCCAGCAGTGCCAGAGCTGGGGACAGGCCTGTTCCAAGTTCTCCTTGCAGTCTCTTGTGCAGACTTGTAGCCCCCAGGCCTAGGCAGGATTAGTGAAGCTGCCCTGCCCTTTAATGCTGCCAGCCCCAGGACCTTTGCACATCTTTCGTGGCTGGGAATATGCGTGCTCTGCCATCATCCCCTCAGTCACCCCACCCAGCTGGGTGAGGTCACCCCCCTTTGGGCAGACTGTGCTTCCTGCCCCGAGAGGTCCCCGGGGAGAAGGGCGGCCGTACCTCCTGGTTGTTCTCTTCCAGGCGC